ACTTCGCTTCTCGTTTATTACTGATTTATGGCCTGCATGCGTCACGTATAATCGAGTTGTTTGCTCGTTATTCAGAACCGATGCCTGTAAAAAGCAAAAGGTTGGAAGCTCCTCAAATTGGGATGCAGCAAAAGTTTCCGGGAAACAAGTTTGCGAGAGACCTGAGAGGAGCGTTTTCAATCCGCGTTGGCAGCCGATCGGGCCGTCAATTTTACTCGTCATCATCTTTTCAGCCGCTGTTTGCCAAGTTAAGATGATCATCCATTTTAGCTAGACACATCAGAAAATGATATGATTGACTTGGCTTAGAACCGGGCTCGGCTTCAGCAAAACTTGGAAAGTTTTTATGGGTCACGCGCTGGTTGTGTGTTGGCTCGGCGTAGAAATTCTTACCGATGCGTCCATTTTCTCTCGAACATTTGTAGTGCGTCGGCCGCTGGAGCAGGAGAGCAAAACCGACCGTCCAACTCGCCTCTCAGAAGACGTTACGTTCGTTTGAACCGACAGGAAAACTAATTAGTCACTGTAGTTGGAGCGTGCCGCTGCGGACAAAGGCCGGTCTCTGCCGCGGCAGGCGGCAAGTCTGTTGTTTATGCAGCTTTATTGCGTTACCAATCGATCGGGCCGTCTCTCGTGGCCCTCCGGAGCCAGCGCACCTCTCTGGACGACCAGCAGCTCATTCCCAACAGCGACGGCAGCAGCGGGCCGCCGTAACCAGTCCGCTCCTCAAGCTAAGTAAACCAGATGGCCGGCGCACACCCGCAACGAGATCGCCACGCATATAAAAATATACTAAAATAGGCTAAAATCAGAAGGACCTCCGCGGCGGACGACTAGACAAAGTACGAGGGCGTGAGCTGCACCTTGCCACCGGACCGCGTCGACGGCGGCGCGTCGGCGGCCACCTCGCTGGCCGGGTTCACGGTGATGTTAACGCGCGGCGAGCCGGCCAGCGCGGCCTTCTCGGACGGCGCAAGCGAAGGCGAGCGCACGAGCGCGTCATCGATGCTGGCATAAACAGGTCCGTCGGCGTAATCGTCCGGCGGGGGGCGCGACCGCCAGCCGTTGGCGACCGGCGGTCGCAGACACTGCAGCAGCCTGTCGCCCAACTGCTTGTCGCGCCAGCTCAGCACCGGACAGCTGCGCGCCAGCAGCGCCAGCTCCGGGTCCAGGTCACCGGCGCCACACACGTCGTCCACGTCGACCAGCACGAGCGGCCGGCGCGCGGCGCCCAGTGCCGTCAGGTGCGCGTGCTTGAAGTCGAAACGGCACCAGGCCCGGCCGAGGAAGTTGTCGCTGAGCAGGAGAACGACTGCGCGGCTAGCGCGCACCGCGTCCGCAATGGCGTCGGGCGTCGCCGCCGCGTCCCGGTGCAGCAGACAGAGCCGCAGCTGCGGCAGCTCGTCCTCCAGCTGTGCGGCCAGCGGCGCGTCCCAGCCGTCGTACGTGACGAGCACGTCGTAGGCGGGCGGCGGCAGCGCCTTGAGCGGCTCAGCGCCGCGCCGGCCGAGCCGGCGGTACGCGAGGCCGGCGAGCAGCGCCGCCGCCGCCGCCAGGCACACGCCGCCGGCCGTCGCGTACACCCAGACGTTAGAGTCTGCCGCCGTGCGTATGCCGCGGCACTCGCTCTCCAGCACGATGACGTCACCACCCGAGCAGACGACGTCGTCGGCGTCGGCCACCTTGTGCCGACTCTGCAGCAGCCAGCGGCGGAAGCGGAAGCGGAAGCTGCACTCGCAGCGCCAGCGGTTTCCGGCTAGCGATATCCGCACCAGATACGGCTGCGTTAGGGTCCAGACGGCCAGCTGCGTCAGCCGGTTGCCGCTGAGGTCCAGCACTTCCAGCTGGCCGAGGTTGCGGAACAGCGCCGTGTTCACGTGCTGCAGCAGGTTGTTCTGCAGGTACAGCTCCCGCAAGCTCGTCAGGTTGAGCATCTCCTCACCGTCGAGGCGCGTTAGACGATTGTCCTGCAGGTGCAGGTATCTAAGCGAAGTGAGACCCTGAAACGTGCGGCTGCTCACCGACGCGACGTTGCTCGCGTTCAGGTACAAAGCCTTGAGACTGATGCGGCCGAGAAAGCTGAGGTCGTACAGCGTCTCCAAGTCGTTGCCGTCCAGCAGGATGTCCGTCGCGTCCATGGGGATTCTGCTCGGCACGGTCAGCAGTCGCTGCGCCGAGCACATGATGATGTTGGTCGTCCAGATGTTGTTGTGCAGGCAGGTGCAGTTGCCCGGGCACGTCTGCTCGCAGTCGCACGCGTCGAAGTCGCAGCACTGGCAGAGCGCGAAGCAGTGACGTGTGTACGGGCAAAGGAACCAGGCGGCGGCCAGCGGGCGGCGCACGGGCCGGCCCCGGTGCCGCAAGCGGCACAGGATTTGGTCCAGGTCCGTGACGGCCAGCTGGCCGGCCGGTCGCGCCAGCCACTCGCTGTGGCAGTCGCACACCAGCGGGTTGCCGGCCAGCCGAAACTCGGCCCGCTCCACGGACAGGCGCACGGACGTCTCGTTCAGCCGCTCGATCTCGTTGGTCGACAGGTCGACCAGCTGCAGGAACGTCTTGCCGACGAAGCTGTACGGCTCGACGGCGGACGATGCGGTTGTCGCGCAGGCGCACCACCTCGATCGAGTCGGGCAGCTGGCTGCGCGTCAGCCGGCTGATCCGGTTGCCGCTGGCGTCCAGCTCGCGCAGCTGCAGAGGCGCCGGCCGGTCGTACATGTCGTCCAGACTGCGCAGCCGGTTCCGGCTGACATCGAGGTGGCGCAGCTGCGGCGGGATCAACGCGTAGTCGAACAGCGTCAGCGCGTTGCCCGAGGCGTTGAGGCGGCGCAGTCCGGGCAGGTGCCCGGCGACACCCACCAGACTGGTCAGTCGGTTACTGGCGACGTCTAGCTCGGACAGCTGCCGGTGGCGGCGCAGCGCGCCCTGCAGCGTGGTCAGCCGGTTGTGCGAGAGGTCGAGCCGCTCCAGGCGGTCCAGAGGCACGAACGCCCGCAGCGACAGGTTGCTCAGCACGTTGTGCGACAGGTCGAGCGTCAGCAGGCTGCGCAAGCCCTCGAACGCGTCGTCGTCGATGAAGAGAAGCCGGTTGTGCGCCAGGTCGAGCTCGTGCAGCAGCGACAGTGAGCGGACGGCCGTCGGCACGTGCGCCAGGCTGTTGTGCGCCAGCTGCAGCCGCTGCACGCCGCTGCAGTTTGCCAGCGCCTCCGGCTGCAGCGCCACCAGTCGGTTGTGGTCGAGACGCAGCACGGACAGTCCGCGCAGCCCGACCAGCGCGCCGGCCACCAGCGTGCCCAGCTGGTTGTGTGACAGGTCGAGCTCGGCCAGGTTAGCCAGGTCGACGATCGAGCCGACGGCCAGCCGCGTCAGCTGGTTGTGGCTGAGATCCAGCAGCTGCAGGCTACTCAGTTCCCGGAAGCCGGGCGTCAGGTCGACCAGCCGGTTTCGGCTGAGGTCTAGCTGCAGCAGCCGCAGCAGGCCGGCGAACTCACCCGGCGACGTCAGCTCGTTGTCGGACAGGTTGAGCGAGACCAGCTGCTCGAGACCGGCGAAGGCCGGCGGCGGCAGCACCGCCAGCCGGTTGCGCTGCAGGCGCAGCAAGCGGAGCTGACCGACCGACGCCAGCACGGCGTCGGGCAGCGTCACCAGCCGGTTGCCGCTAATGTCCAGCAGCTGCAGTTCGCCGACGCCGACCAGGCTCGCCTCGGACAGGCGTTCGATGCGGTTGTCTGCGAGGAACAGCCGCTGCAGCGCGGCGTGCTTGGCGAAGCTGCGCGCGCGCACCGAGCGGATCACATTGGCCGACAGGTCCAGCTCGCGGAGGGTCTGGCCGCACTTCTTTCGACGGTTGCTCGGTCCGAAGCCGAGCTCCACTTCGACCAGAGCGTTCTCCGACAAATTTAAATGCATGAGGCGGTGCAATCTGCAGAAAGCGCTGCTAGGGAGGTACTCAATATGATTGCCGCCCAAATCAAGGCTCTCAAGTTTATGAAGATGGTGAAAGGACTGATTTGAGACGATTAGGCCGCCAGTCTGCGGGCCCAGCGCTAAATGTTTCAACGCCACGAACTGGCCGAGTGCGCCGTTCTCCACGCGGGACACGTTGCAGCGGTGGATCTCCAGTCGGCGGACGGCAGCCACCTTGTCGAACAGGCCGGCCGCGAGCCGGGCCGGCGCCGCGTGCTGGCAGAGCACCCACAGCTCGGTGGCGCGGTAGTCGGGCCGCACCAGGGCCTCCTCCAGGCTGGAGTTGAGCCGGCACTCCCAGACGCTGGGCGCGTCGAGCCGCCAGTGGCAGCGGGCGGTGCGGCGAGCGACGCCCGCCCCCGCGGTGGCCAGCGCGGCCGGCGGCGACCAGTCGCGGTCCGCCGCCGACTGGCCGGCGCCCAGCCCGCCCAGCAGCACAGCAGCCAGCCAGATCGGCGCCGCCATGGGCGCGGCTCAGCAGACGGCCGCGGTCGACACTCCGGCCGAGACGCCGGCGCGGCGCGGCGACGGAGGCGCTCCTGCGTCGCACTCGACGATCACGACCAGCCGGTCGCGCCGGCGCATCTGACGACAAAGAAAACACGGCAATTAGTCGCACGCCCGCGGCGATATGATGCCGAGTTTCGCGCGACGCTCGCGGCGCTGGCTCGGTATGCATCCGGCACCATATTGGCCGGGGGCCGACGGCACATAAATCGCACAACACGACTTCGCTGCCGGGTGGAGTGGAGCGCAGCCGGGTGACAGCAAAAACATCGCACGCTGGCATTTTAAAACGGCTCCATAGTCTGCGAGCGGCCGCACGTCTGTGTCTGCCCGCCAGTTACGAATAGCCGGTCACTGGCCCACTTCGAATGTTTTCGTCCACGTGAGGTCGATAGCACCATTCGAATGGTTCTGGCGTTCGCACGGCGCGCCGGGCCGCTTCACCCGAGGCATTTGTGGCCACTATTGTGCAGGTGTGTGTCCTTTGCCGCGAGTTCGCTACGGAGGGGCGCGACCGGCGGCGACAAAGGCCCGGCCGTCGGCGCCGCCTCGTCGTTAGGACGAGAACATCGATGAAAGTCGCCGCCCGCCCGTGTATACAGCCGGCACTTAAGGTAAAGCACCGTGCCACCACCGTCTTAAATGGACTTAATGCGCGGCCATAAGGGCGTTCCTGTAAATTACCGACACATGTCACCGGGAAAGGCAGAACGTCGACGAGCGGGCGCGCCGCCGTTACCGAACCCGGCCGCCGGGCTCCGCCACCGGCGGCGCTTGGCTGCGCGCAGCCTGCCGCGGGGGGGGGGGCGTGCCGCGGGGGGGGGGGCGCCGTCCCCTCCGCGGTCGACGGGCACGTGTGCCGCTCACAGCCGGACGCGAGCCGACAATTCGCCGCCGCCGCCGCCACCATTACCGCCAGTGACGGCAGCCGCCCCTCCCGCGCCAGGCCGCGCCATCGAAAATCACGACCCGCCGAATCTATTTGAATAAGTGGGGCGGGTAATGGCGGCTAAGCGCCGTCGCGGGCCGCCGCCGGGGCCAGCACAGCGCGCCCGGAAGTAATCCAGCTAACTTGTATGCGGCGGGCCGCGGGTGGAGGCCGTTCTCGGGAGCGGCTCCCACTGGCGCACCGGGGACGACCGCGCCGCCGGGGCGGCTGGCGCAGACCCCGGTCAGCTGGCTAGGCTGAAGGTCACTGAGGCGGGCCTAGTGTGGTGCAGGCTATATCAATCGCTCAATAATATCAACATGTCTACATTGAGCAGACAGAGCATTCACTTAACAGGAATGGTAATTCGTGTTTTTATTTGATCTAGACCGCGGTTAACGTTTCGACACTGATGACGATGTCGGTCCACTCGCGAAACATACCAAAATCCGCGAAAGTGTATGCTGAAATAGGCTCTATTCACCGCTGATCTATGTGCGGTGCATGACACATAATTGGCCACTAATGACCTCCATGTTGACTAATGATATGCAAGCCACGAACACTCCAACACCGTCCAACCATACGGGTCGTGGCCCACGTGACTCATTGGAAACAGCTCAGCGATGTTGGGTACCGGCCGAGCCTGCAGACCCCGTCAAGCGACACGCAAAACGGTGATCTGAATTTGAACATGCCGCGAATTTAATTGCTAGCAGCGGTAGCTTTAACGGTTAACCAATGCTTCCTTAATTGCCTCACATCCACCGCCAGGCAAGCTGCCCTGGAACAGATCGCACCTTTTACGCAGTACCTTGTTAGCCTGAAATAGTTTACAACTGGCTGAAGCAGCGAACTTAAAGACATTAGACTTTTCCACGAATCATTTAAGTCAGATGTGCCGAACATGGGGCATAATCTTTGTATCAACTAAGTTCTTACCGGATGATTCACTCCATGTTACAACCGTTGTGGAAATCTTGACGCATAACAGACCAATACTACATGCTGTCACTTTCAACATTGTGGCACTCTAGTCCAAAGCGTTTCCGCCAGGCGCAGAAGTCGCAACAGTTCAGGTGGTCTAAATTTGTGCAAGCTGGAAAGCTGCCTTGCAATACAGGGTGTGTTTCCCTTTTATTAAAAAATACCCTACCAGACTTTGTCATAAGCCATTGTCATGAAATAACTAGAGCGTCAGTTGTTCCAAGTGTGTGAACCTACAACGTCTCACTTTTCTCTGAGTGCGCGTTCACCATGGGGTACGCCATGGGCATGGAGCGGGGTTCCATACGCCCCTCACACCGATATATGTATATATATATATATATATATATATATATATATATACATACATATATATATACATATACATATATATATATATATATATATATATATATATATATATATATATATATCACGGCCACACGCACCGGTGCGCACCACGTGCCCGGTAATGCATGGCAGGGGAACAGACGGGCTTAGCGACAACTGATTGCGCCTGCTAACAGGCTTAACACTCTGCCGTGCCGCCTCCGCAGTTGCTGACCGAAAGCCGCCCACTTCAAGCGAATTAAACGCTATTTCGTGCAGCACTAATTTACGGAAATCACTCAAGCGGAGACAACCCGCCGAGTCCCGGGCCGCGCCGCTGTGGAGACCGCCACGTGCATAGCTACTTTGGCGCGACAAAGGCGCCGTTTGCTGAGCGGCTGAGCGCTGCCGTCGGAGCGGCAAGGGCCGCAGATTAGACCGACGCCATCCGTGGTGCCGGCCGCGGCCCATGACGCCGGCGCCAATCTGGCCCGCACCCTGCATTAGCAGCCCGTGAAATGAAGGGAAATCCGCCACCGGAAGGGAATGTGTGGCGGCCACGACACCGACGCTTAATCTTCGGAGCGGCACGCTGCGACATGACGGATCGGACGGTCGCATCGCACGCGGCCGGCGCCAGTTCGCGGAGCCGGCTTTGATCCCTTTACGCCTTGTAACATCGTCGCGCCGGCCGGAAGTGGAGGTCACCTCGCCTGCAGGGAGAGATCACCTTAGCGGGGCCCGTCCGGCGGGTGGGGCAAGAGGGGGAGGGGAGGGCTGCGGCGCCAGTCAGACGGCCCTGTCAAGTTCGTGCCTGCCTGTGCCGAAACTTTGACCTGGTGTCCTTCAGCTGTGACACCTGCCAGGGCCGGCGGTGGGCTGATTAGCGTTCGGGCCTCGTCACCGGTCGACTCTGGTAGGTCAGCGGCCCCGCCTACCACACGTCAGGCTGCGCCTGGCGTCGGGCCGCGACGCCACCTGCCGGGGCCGGTCGCGCTGACCAATGTACCGGCGCCGCCACGGGCTGACCCGGTCCGGCGGCGACCAAAAGCCGCGGCCTCACAGCGAGGCTAGCGGCGACAGATCGATTGCACGTGCGTCCACTGCCCGCGCCACCGGCCGACCGGCGCTGCCTGTGCCGGGGGACTCGTTCGATGAGCACGGCTCGCGTTGTGAGACGGTCTGCCACCTCACACCGTGAGAACGAGCTCTTGGAGCAAAGGGAACGGTGCTGAACATTGGCATGCCACAAGGTGCCGGCTCTCAGCGCGCCAGAGCTTCGTCCAGACTAGGCGGATGTCAATGCCTCGGATTTTCGCAACCGTCCCCGAGGTAGCGCCCGTCGGCCTGGCGAATTCAATAAACGCGACGCAATGGCAGACAGCTGGGTGGTGGTGACGACATTTGGTGACGTTGAACTGTGACGAGAAAAGTTGGCTGTGAAGACTTGCCGCCTGTGGTGGCGATGATGAATGCCTGCGGCCACGTCGGCCTGTCAAAGTTTGCCAGCAATTTGTCGACACGAATAAGTAGGTGCCCTTTACAAAATCACGGAGGCGGACATGCGAGAGGCATGGACCCACTGCAGTTTTCCGAGTCGGACATTTTTATTCAGAGACAGGCTCGGCTGATTTAAGAAATTTCGCATCTGCAGTATTGAGCGCAGGTCTCAGTCATCAAAGGTCATTTGTATGGATGAAGCTAATATATGCAAATTATGCCACCCAGGATACCACAGACAACCCAAAGAATATTATTTTCCGACGCCAGAGCCTCTCACATTCTGGTAAAAGGTGCCGCGCGTGATGCATGTCAACGTGTATGTGACTGTAGCGCGTTGGCTATAACGCTTGCGCCCAAGGGTACTGACTACTTGCACATGGCAACCCCCGGGGCACGTGTCGCCGTCATCAAAGTGTACACGCGGCATTGTCCTGTCAGGGTCCTATGCGTTCACGTAGTCACAAGTGAATCTTCGGGATCACAGCTTCGAGAAACGTCAGCTGAGCGTTTCCGCTCTCTCGAGACTCAGATGCCACTCTTCAGTAAAATATTATCTCAAGTCCTTTTCGATGGTCAGCCTGCGTAGCGCGTCACCTCCGATTATATGGGCGTGTGTGAGCATTAATCTTTATTTCATTTGGATCTTTTACAAAATACTTATGAAATCAACAAGCATGTACATTGCAATTCTATATTGCCTATCGAATGTCTTTTCTTCAAGGTTGTCATCTTGCATACTGCAGACATAAAATATTAAACAGAGTTGTTTGAATACAATTTAGGTCTGGGCTGCGCATCAACTGCACAATGAACTGTACAATGGGCAGGCAGTAGCATACACAAATCTGTATTGTTTAGTCTCCATCGAAGGAAAAACAAAATACAGGAACCTTGCAGCATGTGACATTTAAACAACAGGGTTTGAGAGACGAATAACTTGCTTACTGTAGCAAGCAAGCACCACATTTTAATTATTTCGCTGGATTCTAGCAATTGGTTGATGGACATTGAATAGTGGCATGCGTGAATGAAACGTCGACAAAATAGCAACTATGAGTTATGACTATTTTGCTGAGCAGTTGACCTTTAAGATGCTAGAATATGCCGGTAGAACTATTATACTGAGCTGTTGACCTTTAATATGCCAGGATATGCAGGTAAAATGGCGTTACTGAGGTGGATAACCCATGGGTAACCTAATGGTCGTTCC